AGTGATACAGGTGATTATGCCACCCAAGAAACGCCCTTTCTATGGAAAGTCTTTTGCCGCTAAAAGAATGCAAGCACAAATAGCAGCTGAAACAGAAGAAGAGCGCAATCCAAGACTTCAAGCACAAGCTGCAAGACAGACTACTCAAATACAGGACTTTGGAACAACGTAAAGTTAGACTTCCAGCTCAAGCTGAAAGGCAAGCTACTCAAAGACAGCAAGAAACTGTTGAACAGCACAAAGCCAGAGTTCAGTCAGAATCATCAAGGCAAGCTGGATATATACAACAACAAACCTCTGAACAACGTCAAACCAGACTTCAAGCACAAAAATTAAAACAAATAATTTACAGAGAGCAAGAAACAGAGGAGCAACATAATGTACGACTTCAGGCTCAAATAACAAGACAAGTTCAAACACGATCTAATTTCAAATTAAGCTTTGTTTTATTAAATGCTTTTTTATTCCTCGCATCACAGCTTTTGTCTACTTACTGAATAACTTGCTGAAACAACTAGTGATCTATATATTTCAAATCTAAATTTTCACCATGCAACGCCGGGTAACTCAGCTAGTATATATATATATATGCTTTCTGTATTTATAACTTTGGTCACTGTTTAATTGTAAAACAACAGATAAATAAATATTTTTCGAAGACAATGTTAATAATTATAGCAACAGTTGACCTAATACAGTTGCTTAGGGAAACAATGTATAAAATCTTGATGTTCGGAAAGGGTGACAGATAAAATATATATATTAACAAAAAGACAACCATTTTCAACTAGGAACATTTAGTGTTTCTTGACAATAATGTCGCTACATGGCAAGATCTGCTATCATGTCATTAAAAACAGGTTAACGTAAAGCGTTCGACAACTTTTCTAGTACAGTTACAGGCTAAGCTAAACACCATTTTCAACAAATAAGCAGCTTGTGTTTAGAAAAATAAAATTATTTTAACCGAGTACAAATATTTTCTCGCAGTCGATAGGATTCGAACCTATGCAGGGGTACCCCCAACGGATTTCTAATCCGTCGCCTTAACCACTCGGCCACGACTGCTCGTACTAATAAGTTTGTGATAATAAATGCAATATCGTTTACATGCAAGAACGATATAATTTGTGGTTTATTTTCAACACAGTAAGTTTTAAACTTGTGTATTTTGGTAAAGTCAGGAAGAACGCCAAGATTAAGTAGATTAGCCTTAATCGTCTATAATCAATTGCGCTTTATAAGTAAGATGTTTCAAGTCTTTTGCTGTCTTTAAAACTACTTACGTTGATAAATAGCCAAACATCATTAAAAAATCACCTAACTTCAAATAAAACAAACTTAAAGGTAAAAACAAGAATATTTGTACTATACTATACTATACAATCCTGCAAGAAAGGTTACGTAGATGAAACCGGACAAAAGAGTTTCAGAAAATAAAAAAAGGCGTTAAATGTGAAAAACACGAATAATGCCATTTAAATAATCATATGAGAGATTCTAGCAATCAGGTCCATTGGAATTCAACAAGAATATAACAGAAAACAGATAACTATTTAAGAAGAAGAATTGTCAAAAGTTGCTTAACCAACAACTTGTCTGCTTTCAATACCTCCACATTAAAACTAAATGAAAAGTTTCGTTCTTTTAAAAAGATTATGTTTATAAGACTCTTAAAGATATACACATCACAGGCCAGCATCAAGTGAAATTACTTTTCACAGTGTTCTATTGGTTAGTTATGATTTATTAAAGTAAAGTGTAACATGTTTGAAAAGGTACAATGCACCAAACAATTAGATTAACTATTTGTTTGTTTGTATGATTTCTGAAATTCTTGCAAGGCAACACAATGGCTATTTGTGTATGGCTAACTCTAATTTTGAAGTTATAGACTAGAGGAAAGATAGCTAGTAAAAGCAACGCCAACTCTTGGGCTATCCTCGCGTGACCGAATAGGGGGGTTTGACCGTTACTCCCCTACTACGTACACAACCCCAAAGTGCGAATTGTATTTATCTGGGGACAAGCCACGAATAGCGAACCTTTGAATTCTAAGTTCAAACACACTAAATAATAGTGTGGCTCCAGTTAAATAGTAATCTCTATTTGTATTGTGGTTTTGACAAGGTTAAACACCTGATAAATAACTCCGTGATTCCTCAATTTATTTTTATGGAAAACAGGCATATAATGGTGAGTCGTGGTATCTGAAATCCATATGACTGATGATTCTATCTATTATATATACATATATAATTGCCAAACTGAAATAAATCACAGACTTTACCATGTTAAGAACTGAAAAAAAATGACATTTGGATGCACTCAGGTGGAGAACCATAGGACAGAGAGAAGTAGGCCATTCACAGCACTCTGGTGTAAAAAGTGGAATTACTCTAAACCAATGATACTGTTAATGGAACACAAGGACAACACAGGCCATCATTCACACCACTAACAGACGACTACTATCTCTCACTTCTGGCTCACGCAGATAGTACCGTACATACTCCAAAACTGAAATTATATGTTCATAACAGCAACTTGACATATAACTGGTTAAAAATAGACCTTTCCTCCAGCCGGACTGAAGCGTATTCCTTTTACAGTAAAACACAAAACAGTTTGTCTAAAATGATACTAAAACACGTCCAGTGCACCAACGCCAAGCGTTACGGGATTTACTTTTCAGATATAAGTTATTCACTCTGCAGCCAGAAAACATGTGAATACTGATTTGGAGAGATTACTGTAGTGCACGTAGTATTCTGGTGTGACAGTTGTACAATATGTTCATGTTAATCACAACACACGGTTGCCATTGAGGAAGACGCTAGAGTAACTAGACCATGTCTAAACGTTTGGCAGTTTTTAACCATTTGATTTAAATGAAATGGCTCTAACCTTTTGTGTTTTAAACTCAATTTTGTCTAGTGTGTCAGCGTAATAATATATAAAAATATTCCAAGCACCACGAGGTTTGAAACATTGTATATTTTTACTTACATTTTTAATTTCTGTAGGTTGGTAGGGCTTTCGCTGTTTTAACACTGCTCTTCAACCAACCTAATTTAATAAAATACATAATAAATTAACGTTGTTGGAAAGGCATAGCTCTCTTCTGCTTACACATTGAATTACGCTACCTTGGCTAAAAGCGTTTTTCTTAGTTTTATTTATAACCTTGGTAAAAACAAATAATACAAATAAACATTTTGCAATACTACAAACGAGCTAACAATACACTAGTAGCCATATTCTATGATTACACGCATGCTCTGTGAATTGCCAAGCAATAACCCGCCCTCATATCACGTGCAGGTATACTATTGCTTATCAGGCACACGCACTACGTAATCAGTCTACAGCTGTTTCAGCTAGATAAAAAAAGTGGACTTCGTAGATTCTCTATACCTAGGTTCTAACTACGATCTAACCTTCGAAAGCGAAGTTTTCAGTTCTATACAGCTGATTCGAGGGTTCTGTGTTGGACAAAGCAATTCTATCGCAGCAGTCGGTGCCTAAGACGTGAGTCTCCTATCTGAGGAAGAACGTTACACTGCCGAAGTTTGACACACTTGGCTTTGGTCGAGCTTTCTGGACTGAAAACAAGAATCATAACTCGCATAATTTACATTTGTATTGTTTTCAAACTAAGTGTGACCTATTGAAATCTAAGGTTGTACTTGAAATAGTGCGAGTTATAAAATATACCTTTCAAGGAAACGAAACTAGAGAAAAGGAGAAAATCTTATGTTGATAACCTTGAAAAGTATTTGTCCCAGCGAAGAGAATATTACTGCAAGCATAGAGATAAGGTTAGAAACAGTAATGCTGAATATGCGAAACAAGCCTTAGTCATTAATTCAGCCAAAGAAAAGGCTGCCACTCCATCTAGATGGAAGAAAATCTATAGCAAGGATATCAGTTAAAAACTGGAAATGTATAGAGAGATAGCTCTAAGAAAAGTTACGAGAAGGATAGCCTAGAACCCAGTTATTCTCGAGACTTAGTACCAAAGAAGTTATGATATAAGCGTAAAAAATGTTTAAATAAAAAATCAAGAAGTAGGAATGGAAGCACCAAAAAGTAAAGAAACAAGGTAGGAATGGGCGGGGAACATTACAACACTTGGTAGTTATTGACAGGGTGCAACATCAAAATGGGTGTAGCCATCGTTCCACCCATTCCTACTTCGTATTTTACTTTGAAAGTTGATCCAATTATAGGTTTGAGTTTTATCAGTAGCTAATCCTTTTTAAATATTTAACAAATTTAAACTTTGCAAAAATAAGCGATTTTGATACTATTCTTTTGACCTATCCCTCACCAGTCAGAGAGGAATAATGTCTTCCATAAACACAGGATAACTATCGGAGCTTCATTTCTCAGTTCAGACATCAAACACTCCTTATAATGTCATGCATTTTGTTAGGGTCACGTAATTTGATTACAAACATGTATCTGTATTTGGCTGCTGAAACAAGGTTTACAACAGAGAAACTTAGCGATATAAACCTTTCATTTTGTTTGAACAATTACCCAATTACAAAAATTACTCGTATATTGGATATTACTTTTAACGTGTCTGGGGTAGTTACTTCTAAAATTTAAATAAACTTGGGAATTGGTCAGTTTTAAACAAATATCGGTTTCTAAAGAGCCATTGCCAGATACTTCAATCACTATATCCAAGAAATGTATAGCTTTAAAAGACTTTTCAACACTGAGTTTAATGTTTGGATCTAAATCATATAAAACCTATATCAAAGTATCTGAGTCAATATGACATCACATAAGAGGTAACATTTGATTTCATTGTTTGATCAACAATGGTTACATCTCTTTTAACAAGCCCGTTACTATAATAGCATAGGTAGGTGTCATTGTTCTACCAATGATGGTTCCTCTTATCTGATGATAAAAATTATTATTATAGAAAATATAATTATTAGTCAGTACCAACTTTACAGGCTCAATTAAAAATTCATTAGTTATTCTGAAATGCCAAAGTTCTGGAAAAGATTCACAGAAATAATTAACAGCTGCAATTCGAAATTCGTGTTCAATATTAATATAGAAATATATTACATCTTGTGTAATCAAACTGGTGTTATGACCAATTTCACTATTCAGTTTGGATATAAATCATCCCTCACGTAGCTTTAATTTTTACAATAAATGGTTTTCAATACTTCATACAAAAAAGAACTAATACGCTCTGCAATAATAGGTTTACTAGAGCAACAAGAAGGCCCAGCAAGCTGGATGTAATCATTATTTAAATTAAAGCAGGCATTAATAATATATTGGCATTTATGGATTTTTGTTAAAACATAAAATACACTTGTAACTATTTACAATTAATTAAACTGACCTTTATATTTTTGAGTAAAAGAGTTAATCTTTTCTAATATATCTTTATCATAATCTTTTTCCTCAAGTTTCATATAAATTGCATTATCTCTTAAATGTTCTTTAGCCATTGTATCATAAAACTTACTTGACATTAAAGCTATAGTATTCCCTTTGCCAACTTTTTAAAAACTTATATCTTTTGAACACAGATTACATTAGGTATTGTTCCAATGTATATATTGTGTTGAAATCAGAGGTAGGATTTTTACGTGATTATATAGTGTATTCAGTTCAATACAGATACCGTTTGTTGGTGCAACACATGATTTACTTCTGAAAATGATATCATCTTTGTTATCAGTTTGACTTTGTTGTAGATAAAATTCTTTGAGTCTTACACTTACATTATTTGATTTTGGTAATAATATGCTCAGCCAATAAAATATTTCTATCATCTTATAATAACGTTTCCTCTGTGACGAAATTACGTTAGATAATTAATCATCAGTATGATATTATTGTTTCAAAAATATAATTTCCAATAGTTTTCCTTTCAGTTTCTGTGGTCTTCGTTAGTCACAGTACTATAGTTACATATAATGTGTGTTTCCATTTCTGTTTCCATACACACTTGATAAAAGAGCAGCGTTTATGTTTGATTTACTTTAGAAATATGAAAATGTGTAAAACATAAGTGAAAAATAAGT